TAAAGCAACGTAGCGGCGACGGATGCGCGTTGCACTTAAAGCACATTATGCTATTATTTAAAAAAATATTTTGCGTACATGGCGGCTTGCCAAAATATTTTCTATTAAATTTTTGCAAACTACAAATAGAATAGGCAAGCACACGTCTACCTATATACACATTAGGGCGGACCATTTTGGATTTTTTTTTTTGACTACGCGCGTATAGCACAGGAGAATTCTACGTGTTATTCTAAGCATATTTGCCGAAAAACCATGGGTCTAAAGTCAATTTGGAACATTTTCAACGTTGCGCCCCCTGGTGGAAATTTTAAGCAAAAGATAAGTGCAGAAATGGATTCCTCATACCAAAAAATTGGTTCTTCGGAGAATTTGCTAAGAATTACACGTAGAATCTCTCTGTGCTATACGCGTATATTCGAAAAAATTTCCCACACTAATTGACCCGCCCTAATATATGTACATACATACCTATGAGGATACATATAAATATGCTGTTTTTTGCTCCAAATTATTTGTTGGTAATTAAGATTTTATGTATCTAAATTTTTTTGGCATTCCTCGCTAGGACCGTTGCCAGTATAGTATACCTATCTGGCAGTCACCACGCCCACAGAGCTTTAAATATAAGCATGAATAGAGATACACAGCCACACTCAAATCTTAGAGTCTAAATTCATACTCGTATATATTTAGGCATGTCTGTCTGTATGTATGTATGTATGTATGTATGTATGTATGTATGTATGTATGTATATACATTAAAATGTATCACTTTGACCGTCAACATCACTTTGACGCTGCCGCTGATTGCAACACGAAACTATTGTTGTTTGTTGTAAGTAGCAGATGGATGTTGCCGTTGCTACTTTCGAGGCGCCTCTGCGACTCTTACGCTAATTTAAAGGCACGTGAGGAACGCAGCGAGTGAATTTAAATTTAGCTGATCGTACACAACGGCATCATTACCATAAGAAAGGGGCGGGCAGGTTTGTGGACTATATACATTATTACATACATACATACATACATACATATGTTCGAGTATATGTATACATACATATGTACATACGCGGGACGCAGTCAGCAGCTAGTGATGCAAATACCTTATTTGCCACAAATACAGCAGGAAAGGAAATAAAATATGCAAATTAAAATGCAATAAAAAATGCAAGTGAAAATAAAAAAGTAAAAATTGCTTATAAAAAACTTCTTCGCAGCATTAGCTGTGAAGCGTCAGTCAACTTGAACTTGCGAATTCCGCAATGTCAATCGATTGATAAGGAAAGGCAAATCAATTTGCAAAAAAAAGTAAACAAAAACAAAAACAAAAAGCGAAAGAGAAATTGAGCGTTAACGGAGCTGATTGTTTATTTTCTGTAAATTTTTTTAAGTGTCGATGGCGGTGCCGAAATTTCTTCAATTGCGTAAGTGCAAATTCTCGTGGATATTTTCCACTCTATTTCGACAATTTACTTTGGTCTTTGTACCCAGTCTTTTTGTATAGTTGAATATTTGGTCACGCATTTGATTAATTAATTCAATTCTACACAGCTCAAATATATGAGTAGATACATACATACATACATATATATGTCTACATAGATAATTATTACAAGGAGAAAGTGGGTGCTGGGACATAAAAGATCGGTTGCCTTCCTCGGAGGCCTTCCTCTTCCTCGGTCACCACCAACGGGTACCGTTAAGGTTGGCAGCGATTAATCATTTGATTAAATTAGTCGATTATTTTTATCCAATTAAATTGCATCGTAGTTTTGTGTTTCATTAATCGTTTAATACTGTAGTTGTCTAAAATCTATCCATCGACCATTCTTTTTTGCTAGCTGTATCAACTTTACTCGAACCGAGGTTCACAAAAATTCATTTAGAAGATCCGTTAGAATGAGCTCAGACACATAAAAATTTTGTCTCGGCAACTCGTTACTTGAAGCAGACGGAGCGCCGAGGAAAGGGGAAGGACACCGAGTTGATCGTGCTCGGGCAATACGCTTTGTGCTCTCGTTCCTCTTAGTAATTCCAGTTATACAAAAGAGTTGCTCTGTGTGAATGCGACCTGCAACACCAAAAGAGAAGTCGAGCAACAAAAGTTTCCGTATCTGAACTCATTTTTTGCATTGGCCTCTGTAATGAAGTTCTAGTCACTAGAATCATTAGAAATTGTGTTCGATCTTTGGGCCCCTCATAAATCTCTTGTACACAAACGAAGGGGGAAAGAGGACGATTTGCTTTACCCACAAGATGAAATGAGTCTTTATTTAAATTGTCAAGTCCCAGAATTAAAGCGGAATATCATCGACGCTTGGAAAGAAATGAAAACTGTTTACCCAAAACTTTATGAACCTTCGAAAAAATACTGTCATTTAGTTAGTACCCAGGGTGTCTGCCGAGCGCCTACAACAAAAGGCTTATCAAACTTTTGTTTTTATGCAAACTTGGCTAAATAATAAATGCTAGAAATACTCGACTTATCCCAACTTATTCATACCTACATATGCACATACATATATAGGTTGTACGCGGGAAAAAGTTTGAGAAGCAGTGATCATGAAAATTTTCTTTCAGCAGCAAAGCTAAGTCGATATCAACGTCTATATATTTATCGATAACGATAAGAATAACAAATCCAAATGAAAACCTGGGTAGCTGTGGGAAAAGGAGAAATGGAATTTAATTTTTAAAATAAATAGAGCAACAAAAAATAGGCAAACAATATATACTAGGGCGGGTCGAAAATCTAATTTTTCTCAAATCCCTTGGTAATAGTGAAAATATATTGTATCATGAAGTCAACAACAAGCCCGCAAAATATTAGTATTTTATTTTAGTTGTAAGAGCCCGCGCATCGACCGCAAAGTGACCCACAGCACACTAGTCGAATAAGACCAATTCTTGTTGAAAATTCTGGGTTCGGCAAAATGGTTTGGTGCATATTATTAAATAATGAATCCGTTTAAGCAAAAGATAAAGTCAAATATCATTACTCGCAGCCCTTTAGCTTATCGTTAATCTCAAGATGATCTGTTTTCAATAAAATTTTAATTGTTCTCTTGATAATAGCACTGGATTATAGTCAAAAGATGTAAAGAACAGCTTTAATATTGCTGGCGTGCTGGCATGTCGCTGGTGCCAAATATTCTTATCTTTTTTAATATTAGCTATAGTTTGCGAATTTTTGCAAATATAGGGACAATTTCGGTAACTCTAATAGAAAAGCCAATATTTTCCATAATCGTGGAAAAATTTTGTTTATGCAAATGGGTATGGAAACACTGGACAGGCACAACCTCTAGAAACACTAATTGGTTTACTTATGTTTATGCATATAATATAAAAATTGCAAATATAAGAAAATAACAAAAAACTTTGTTCAAAATTGTTTTTATTTTAAAATAATTTGTTTATAATCTGAACGATTTTAATCATATTATTATCAAAAATCGGTAACATTAAGTCTCGCCTTCAATTTGGAAATTATTAAGTACCGATCGAGTAACATTTACCAAAGTTATATGGAATAATTTAAGTGGATCTCCAGTTTTTTTTCTAAAAAAATGTCTCTTAAATTGTGTAAATAACTTTTAAATGAAAGAGCCGGATTCCAGAAAACAGTGTCAGGGAGTGACTTTTTTCCTTCAAGCTAAATGCAAAGCAATATCGTCCAATTGGAGAGTCCTCAAAAGGATTTCCCAGGATATGTTAAATACTATTGCATTTACCTACAGTCACTTTTTCACATCATGGAATTAACTAAAATATTTATGTATATCTAAACACTACTTTCATATAACGGCAGAATTAGAGACCGCGAACAATTTTCAAGACTGCATAAATGGACTTAAGATGGGCGTTTCTCACCCTAATTGTATTATGTTAATGTATGTAAATACTTATATAGTTGAAACTACAATTAACTTATCAAACGATTCGTAATCTTTGACAATACATGTTTGACTTCATTCACCACAATCTTGAAAACTGACCAAATCGGCCCATGACCCACTTAATATTATATAAACATCCGAAAACATTAGAACGTTTGAAATATATCTCGTCTCACTTTTTTGAATTTTTCACTTGGTTGTTTTTGTAAGTTTTATCTTAATACCTTAAAAAAGTGTAGACTTATTGAAAAATGATAAATGAACGTGAGATACTAAATTTAATAACCCTTAATTTGATATATCGTCCTGTTTATAACAATTAATGCATACCATAGATATTAAAAGCCAAAGTTAAATTTTAAAAATTCATACAATTTGATTCAATTGCGCGGGCTAAAGATAAGTTTTAAATTAATCTTTCGTGGCCAATAACAATTGGCTTAGACCTAAGACATCATAACATTACTATTACAATACGGTCAAATGCCTTTCATTTTCCCCCATACAAAATCGACCCAGCCTAATATATACACTTTGCCGGTAAAAATTTCAAACATCTTAATTGTAGTCTTTAGAAAAATTTGGAGTATGGGAAAAATTGCGCAAGATTATCAGCGAAAAAAAATCAACTAAAATTTTAGGCTATTTGAAACTTGCATATTTGAAATTTTTATGAAAATTTGCTGAATTTTAAAAAATTTTGTTCAAAGTTTAAATTTACTATTTATATCTGTGTCCACATACAATAACCGTCTAAGTGGAAAAACCTGAATCCGAGAAAAAACGCTTTAAAAACTTGGACTGTAAGGTTAACCTTATGGCGAGTTGGGGATTTCACATACACATGGAATAGTAGTTGCAGAATACGATAGCATATATAACTCTTATTGCTTATAACCACAGCTATGTAAATAGTTTTTGTGATATTATGAACTATATTTAAAAAAATGATTTTACCTAATTTTGTTGTAAGTTGTGCGTGACCGCCAGTGCATTGGGAAATAAAAATTTGAAGTAAAAGTTTTAAACGCATTTGCTTTTTATTAGACTATCCACATTATTTACATAGAAACATATTTTTACTTATGTCTCCAACAGACTGTCAGTCAAGAGGACAATGACCCCAGCGCCCGAAATCCGATGCTCTATGACCCACTGCAGGACGGTGTGGTTAGGACTTCCAAAAGGATGCAGTACGTTGCCGCACTGGTTGGTAAGTATAAAGAAAATATCTTGCAATGCTTTTGCATTAGACAAAGTTTAATTTATTTTTGCATATTTCATCGTAAATTTTTACGCACCATTTATAGTTTGTCTCGGTGCTGTAGCTGCTGGCACAGCATTAGCATGGACCTCGCCAGTGTTGCCACAAATTAGCGCTCCTCCTGCAACAAATGCGACTATTACAAACTCGACCATTACAAATTCGACAATTTCCAATGAGACGATATCAGCGACAACATTGGCGCCGCCGCCAGTTGACCCTTCAGGGTTGCAATTAACGATCGAGCAACGTAAGTAAATAAATAGTACAACGAACTATAAGCACGCATTTAAAAATGTAAAAGTTTTCTCCAAAAAGTATTTACTTACTTTCGATAAATTTAGCTTGCCTTTTAAAGTCAACTGCTTCATACTGTGTATTGGCATAGTACTTACAGCATAAATGTATAAATACCATTCATATCGCTTCACTTGTCGGCGCTCGCTTTTATCGACGCCCGTATTTATGTATGTATGTATGTAGGTGTATAAGCGATGTCGCTATTGACAATAAAATGCAATCGAAAGCGCGGTAAAATTCTACTCACTTTAATTGCCGTCTTTCCTCATTTGGACGGAAGCAATGCATTCTTTATATTTACATGAGTGTAGACCCCTTGCCACCCTGCACATGCACGTTTTTGAATTCAAGTGATTTATAGCCAAGCAGCAAGCAAAAGTAAATACCACTGTGAACTTTATACATAAATAGATTACATTAAGTAAATTAGAAATTGAATACCCTGTAACGATGATACTCGCTTTTGTTTTATGCAAAATTTTACTTACATACTTAGATAGATCTATTTGTAAATGTGGGTGCTATAGCTTTTCTCTGCGGTGGTGAATCGAATTTTTCTTTATACTAAATATGTGTAGGCGAGTAGTTAGCGCATAATATTCCTACTGGGTAGGACTTTAGGTTCGATGTCTGGTCCAAGCTAGGGCAAATAGAATGTTGTTCACAATGTTATGCCACCATTTTTATTTACTGTTGTCGTAACTTGAGAAAAGCGGCGCCTTTAAAGTGACCTTGAATGTTTGCCTTACCACCATTAGCAAATTTCCACATATCCTAGGAATAACTTTCAGAAAGGCCTTTTAGATGAGATTTTAGCTCCTGAAATTATCTATTGCGTAGTAATTCTGTATGACCCCTCAGCCGTGTACCTGATCAGGAACTGGCACTTTTTTGGCATTTGTCTGAAGAAAATTAAGATTCTAACCAAATAAACTAAATTGAAAGAAGACAAACTCACCAAAAATTCAACATGTTAGAAAAAACTATTGGTTTCAATTTTCGACTACTAACGACTGGAAGCTTTTATCATAGCAAAAATCTGCTAAACAGTAGAGGAGTGTCTACATTGACCTTCATTAAAAAGACCAGTACAACTTAAGTGTGGACCAGGACACCAGGACAATTTGTCTAAATCAGGATAAATCCTAGAAAATCAGGACGTCTGCCAGCCTTAACCTAATGAGAAATTGATACCTAGAAGAAAGTACTTTGCTAGCTTTCCTGCAAGAAAGTAATTTCACACTCTTGTGGAGCTCGATAAAAAATTTAAATACTGACGGCTTCAAGACTGAAAATGGTAATTGAGCTTGATGGCATCTGATAGCTTAAGTTTTTGTGGGTGCCGGGATAAATTTGGTCAGCTGAGTCGTTGGTAGAGTATTGCCTGACAAGATTGTAGCGAAATTCTCTCCCTCCGATAGTGAAGGAGTAAGTTACGAGCTTAGTTGATTACAAGGCAAAATCCATGTTGGTAAATGGTAAAGTTTTGGTTCAAATGTACTCAAAGTGTATGAGCTACTTTCTAATTCCCTCGACAAGCTGCTAAGGCTCAAAAAGAGTCCTGAAGGTATGCAGGGAAGCAAAAAATTTCCACCATACCTGTTTTTGCTTATCCTTTTAATCCTCCTGGTAGGCCTTAAGTACCATGGGCAATATTTCCTGAGTACTTGTGGAAATTGATTTTTTGTTTTTGTTTTTATTTTTTGCGGCTAGCTACAATTCTGCTCCGTTCCACTAACACTCGGCAGGAAGTAGGTTAGATCAACCAGCTGTATCCGTTGTTAGGCAATGGCAAAGCTCCGAGTGTATTTCTGTCATGAAAAAGCTTTCGTAAAACCATTTAGCGTTCGGAAGCGCCGTAAAATTGCAGGCCGCTCCATTTTTGGAGAAGTTCGTCTAAAAGACAGAGTAGCAGCATGTGTGAATTAAGATTTCGCTTATATTATCGATATTTATATGTTTTAATCTAGTCAAAAAATCATTTACAATCTTATAGGTAATTGCCTTATTTTACGGCCATTACTTTATTATAAGTTTTATTTATTTATTTTATTGGTACCTTTTCTACTACTTTCAAATGCGTGACCGGAATAGACCTGCCGAAAAAGTGAGGTTACATAGGGTACATTTCGAAGAAATCTTCGGAACCGTGAAAAAAAAAGAAATAGGAATTCGGCCGAATTTCGACACTCCTTTGGAAATTATAAATGCCTTAAAGTTAGTTTCACGATCACGCAAAAAAGCAAAGGTTGCATTAACTATTTGTCATTATCTACGATATAAGTTTTTCTTTGGAAAATATCTCGCTTACCAATTCACTTTAACACAAAAACATTTTGACGTTTCTTTCCTTTAATCTTCCAATTACAGAAACATGGGTTAGTTCTCTAGTTGCTATTGGTGCTTTCTTCGGTGCCTTACCCACTGGTTATATAGCTGATGCAATTGGCAGACGTTACACCGCACTTATTATGGACGTACCTTTCATTGTGGCATGGCTGGCNATTCGCAATTCACTAATAGGCATTTCAACCGGAAGCTTTTGTGTTGTTACACCCATGTACATATCGGAGATCGCGGAGACAAGCATACGTGGCACTCTGGGCACACTGTTTCAACTGCTGTTAACCTTTGGCATATTGCTGGTTTACCTTATTGGTGCAGTGGTGTCTTGGACCACGCTGAGTGTCTTGTGCCTGATGGTGCCGATCGCGCTATTCATTGGCATGTTAATATTGCCAGAGACGCCTACCTATTTGTTGAAGAAGGTGAGTTTGGAGAAAAATTGTCCACGTATTCATATACATTTAATTCTCTTAACCCTTAGGGTCGTCGCGGTGATGCTGCTCTGTCGCTGAAATGGCTTTGGGGTCGCTATTGTGACTCACGCTCGGGAATACAAATGATTCAAGCAGATCTGGATCAAGCCGGCTCGGATGCCTCCTTCATCGATCTGTTCCGCAATCGCGCTGCTTTCCAAGGTCTCATCATCT